AGGCTGACCCTGAACTCACTGTGTGGCCCATGCTGACCTTGAACACAAGCATCCTCCTGCCTCAGCCTCCTGGGTGCTGGGATTACAAGTGTGTGCCACCACAGATTTGTAAAGAGCTTCGACCTGGTCTTGGCCCAGCAGCCAGGGGATGTCACCCTCCTGGCTCTCTTCCTGCACGGGCTGCTGCACATCTTGCTGTCTCAGGTTCTCTCTGCCCGATCCTGGGGCTCCCCCGAGTCTCAGGCTTTCAAAACCATGTGAAGGTTGCCAGTTTCTCAACCCCCGCAGCCCAGGCCTCTGTCTTAAGCTCCAGATGTGTCAAGACCTGGGGACCCAGCCCCAGTGCTTCTTGTCCACGTGCTCCTGTCACTATCCTTACCTCTGTAAGTGGCCTGTCAGCTTCGGCAGTTGCTAAGTCTAAGAGCCTTAGTTATTTTTTATCCTCTTTCCATACATCCTCTAATTTGGTATGAAGTCTGTGGTCTCAAGTTGAAACGCATAAAGCAAAAGCAGGCCACTTTTCCCCACCTCTGCGTCTTCCATTTTCTGAATCTAAGCCAGGCTTTTCTCTCCCCAGGTGAGGAGGGTAGAAGCCTCACTGAGCTGTTTCTGCCCGCTCCCCTCCTTCATTGGATTCTCAACCCCAGTTGCCTTAGAGAGCCTTTTAAATATGTGAACGTGGGGCTGGGGATACAGCTCTGGTACACTTCCTGCCTGGCAAGCACAAGGTCCTGAGGTCGATTCCTGGCACCAAAAAAAAAAAAAAAGAGTCTCTCTCGCGCAAAAAACCCAGACACATCTCCCGGATGGCACCCCTGCTCGGTTAAGTTAAAAACCAACGTGCTTTATTGTGGCCCACCCCAAGCTAGGCAACCCCCTCCACTTGTCCTCCCTTCCTGTTACCTTATCATCCCTGACAACCCTGTTTACCTGTGCAGCAGTCCTTACCCTTTTCCTCTTAAAGACAAAAATTTTGGGTTTTTTGAGACTGGGTTTCACTATACAATTCAAGCTGGCCTTGAACTCACTTTGTCACCCAGGCTGGCCTCGAACTCAAGGCGGTCCGCCTCTTTCAGTGCTGGCATCACTGGTGTGCACCACCATCCCAGCAAGGCAGAATTTTTAAACATGGATTCTAGTTAACGCTGAGCTTTGCACGCGTCCTGTATTTGGTGACTATAAGTACCTAGAATACTAGCAGGCATTTCGACATGCGCCTTAGTTGTATAATCCCATGTACCTTTTCTGTTTCATGGATGTGGAAACTGAGGCTCAGAGGTGGCGTGCTGAGCCCGGCTCTCCGGCCTCTCGGGCAGGGCTGACGTGTCGCCCTTCTCCCTGCAGGTCCCCGGCGAGAAGCCGGCGTCGTCCGCCGACCCGGCGCGCCCCCACACGTGTCCCGACTGCGGCCGCGCCTTCGCGCGCCGCTCCACGCTGTCCAAGCACGCGCGCACTCACACGGGCGAGCGGCCCTTCGCGTGCACCGAGTGCGGCCGGCGCTTCTCGCAGAAGTCGGCGCTGACCAAGCACGGCCGCACGCACACGGGCGAGCGGCCCTACGAGTGCCCCGAGTGCGACAAACGCTTCTCCGCCGCCTCGAACCTGCGGCAGCACCGACGGCGTCACACGGGCGAGAAGCCGTACGCGTGCGCGCACTGCGGCCGGCGCTTCGCGCAGAGCTCCAACTACGCGCAGCACCTGCGCGTGCACACGGGCGAGAAGCCGTACGCGTGCCCGGACTGCGGCCGCGCCTTCGGCGGGAGTTCGTGCCTGGCGCGCCACCGACGCACGCACACGGGCGAGCGGCCGTACGCGTGCGCCGACTGTGGCACGCGCTTCGCGCAGAGCTCGGCGCTGGCCAAGCACCGGCGCGTGCACACCGGCGAGAAGCCGCACCGCTGCGCGGTGTGCGGCCGGCGCTTCGGCCACCGCTCCAACCTGGCGGAGCACGCGCGCACGCACACGGGCGAGCGGCCCTACCCGTGCCCGGAGTGCGGCCGCCGCTTCCGGCTCAGCTCGCACTTCATCCGCCACCGCCGCGCGCACATGCGGCGCCGCCTCTACATCTGCGCCGGCTGCGGCCGGGACTTCAAGCTGCCCGCGGGCGCCACGGCCACCGAGCGCTGCCCGGAGTGCGAGGGCAGCTGAGCCGCGGTGGAGATGGGAGGTCAGGCTGGGAGCCCGGAGAGGGGTGCACCGGGAATCAGCCTGGTTGCGTTATCCCGATGGCTCCTCTCCTGCCCCCACCTGGGCCGGGAACGGGTGGCGTTCCAGGCTTGGCCTCTCCGGGCCCGGGAGGCAGGAAGAGTAGCCTCCTGGGGTCCCTGGAAGCCGTGCCCACCTCCCTCGCTACACCTCTTTGGCCCGTGTTAGTGAATAAAGTATTATCCTCATCCCACCATGCCTTCGAGTGAGGTGGATGGGGGGGGGCCGGGGTGTTGTCCAGACTGAAGGAGTGGGCAGGCAGCCAGCGGGCACGTCCCACACAGCCCCTTGGGTTGTCCTCAGCATGTCCGCGACCAAAGAGCATTGCCTTGTGCAGAGCGTGGGTGAGCAAGGCAGCATCCGAGGTGAGGTCGGTGCAGAGAGGCGCTGCGCTAAAGATTAAGTACTTCGTTATGTAAGTATTGTCACCTCCCTTTTGTTCTCAGAACATCCTTTTGTTCGTAATACTAGGGGTTGAACCTGGAGGCAGAGAATCCCATCTCCAGCCCCCCCCCCTTTTTTTTTGTATTTTTAGGGAAGGATCTACAGGGTATTCAGGGTGTCACTACTAGATGGGACCCTGTTCACAGCCTACCAAGAGCTGGGATTACAGGGCGCACCACCACGCAGTCTCAATTGCTGTCTCAAGCGCACCCCGAGGGCAGGGCAGCCAGCAAGGCAAGCCCAAGCCCGCAGATCTAATCCCCGGCCCCTGCGCCTGCTTGCAGGCGCTTTAATCCTCCAGCCCGTTATTTTTTATTTATTTTGCGGTACCGGGGATTATACTCAGGATCCTGCGCTTGCCAAGCAAGTGCTTACTCTACTGAGCTATCTCCCTGCTCTCCCCCCCCCATTTTTATTTTTTATTTTCAGGCAGGGTCTCACGAAGTTTTTTGCAGGTGAGGCTGGAGCTTGCAGTCCTCCTGCCTCAGCCTCCCGAGAAGCTGGGATTGCAGGCATACTCACAGCTGGTCCCTATGTTTTTACATATAGCAAATACACATACAACCAGTGCAGGAAGTTGTAATCCAGTGTCAACTGAAACTATGATGGAAGTTGGACAGGAGGAATCTCCAAGGCCAATCTTAAGGGTTCCTGTTTTTGGTGGTGCTGGAGGCCTCATGTATGTTCCACAAGTGCTCCACCACTCAGCTGCCAAGTCTGGCCCTTATTTTACTGAGACAAGGTCTCCCTAAATTAGTCAGTCTGGGCTTGAACTTGCCCCAGCCTCCTCAGTAGCTGGATCCAGTTTTATTTATTCATTAATTTTGGCAGAACCAGGGATTGAACTCAGGCCCTGCACTTACCAGGGAAGCACTTATTCCACTGAGCCATCTCCCTGGCTAAGTAGCTGGATTTCAGATGTGTACCACCATGTTGGTTTTTAGCTGGGTCTTTTTTTTTTTTTTTTTTAATTTTTTGGCGGAACCAGGGCTTGAACTCAGGCCCTTGAGCTTACCAGGGAAGCACTTATTCCACTGAGCCATCTCCCCGGCCCCTTTTAGCTGGGTCTTGAAGGTCAAGATGAAATTAGGATTAAGGAATTAAGGACAGAGTCCCTAAAACTTCATGCTGGTCACCTTAGCTTGCAGACATCCCCTGTGACAGTGTGGGGACAAAAGATTTGGCAGGACACAGGACCTGTGGGCCCCTGGGAGGCCACGTGAAAGGATCTAAGGCAGCAAGGAACCCCGGAGTAACCAGGGAAAGATGGATTTGACACTAAGGAGCGAGGATTCACAGCAGTACAGGGACTCTGGGGTTGAAGGAAGGAGAAAGGAGGCTGCTTAGCTTGGGTGACTGAGGCCACTGGCACTAAAGGGAGTCACGATGGGGAGAAGCTGGGCTGGAGGGTTGGCACCCCCCATCTGGAGGTGCTAAGTGTGAAAAGGGGAGTCAGGTTGGAAGTTCTGACTCCATAGCCAGGAGAGGGTACTTCAGAGGAATCTGGAACCCTGGAAGGGTCTTGTCTGGGAAATCCAGAGCCACTTCCTGAGAAAGGCGTGCTTGGCTGCCAGGCACTGCGCTGGTGTCCACTGTGAGCTGTGAACAGCGGAGACACAGACAGGCAGAGCCAGCAGAGGGCCAGGGTGGGGCACACGGGAGAGCGAGCACGCAGAGCTGAATGCAGACAACCCTTTCTGGAGCTCTGCTGTGCAGTCGGGCGACCCTCCTGCCTCAGCCACCAGAGCACTGGGATTAGCAGGTGTGTGCCCCATAGCGGACTTCAATGCTGTTTTTAATTGGAACAAGAAATTGACCTAGGTGAGGAGAATGGGTTTTCCTTTTTACCAAGGGGCCCAAGAGGAGAGCAAGTTAGAGACCCAGCCCTGAATTGTGACCCTGATTTTGTACTCTGGGCCCTCAAAATTTTGATTTGAAAAGGCAACTGACAATAACTATAAACTGAGCAAATACCTACTGTGTGTCAGACGCTGCCCTGGGACTCTTAACAACTTAATCCTTACTATGCACCAGGCAGGTACTACTATTTTCATTTTACAAGAGGAAGAAAGTAGAGGAGGAAGGGAATGAAGTAATTTGTTATTTGGTACAGGGTCTCGCTAGGCAGCTTGGATTTGCACAGCGGTCCTTGTACTTTCCAGGCAGGTGATTTAGACGGCTGAGCTATCTCCCCAGACCTGGAGTGCAGTAATTTGATGCGCATCTCATCTGGTGCATTAAGTATCTCAACCCAGACAGCCTGGCTTTAGAGTCTAGTTTGTTTTCTTTTTTTTTTTTTTTCATTAGTAATTGAACCAGAGCTGCCTGCACCCTGGCAAGCCCTGTACCCCTGGGACACCCAGTCTGGACTCTGACAACCTCTAATCTCCTTCCTAGGTGCAGAAGGGTAAGGGATTTCGACGAGCTCCCATCGGGAACTTGGCACTGGCTCTCTCCCTGCAGGTAGGGAGTCTAGTAGCTAAGTATGAGGACCCCTTTGCAGCACCTGCTGCCATACCTGTGGTCCCCCGAAGAATCCAGAGCTGCTGTCCATCACTGTTTTATTGGGGGAGCAACTATCTTCTGGAGGCTCTCAGGCCTCCAACAGCAGGAAGTGGGGCCCTCAGGCCCGGCGTGACCTGCTAGGAAAGAGTTACACAAGTTCCATAGCACAGCCGAGCCCTGGTCTTCAGGTGCCGTGCTGCGCTGCAGGTGGTGGTCCCAAGTTCTGGGCTGAGCCCTGGCCTGTGGGCTCAATGTCTGCAGGTCCCAAAGCCTGCTCTTCAGCGATGGCCCCCCGGGGCAAGTCTGTGTACTTCCGAGCAGAGCCGCGGGACAGATGGACGGGGTAACGTTGCCGGTTGGTATCCATTTTGGAGAGCACTGCTTGGGGCAGATCCACATGGCAGCGAGCTGCTAATGCCACCAAGTAGATGAGGACATCACTAAGCTCCTCTTGAAGGGCTGCCCGTTCCTTCAGGGGCCACGCTTGGGGACCGGGATCCACATCTGATTTCCACTGACTGGGAAAACACAAGACACACAGAGCTACTAGCTAGGACAGCAGGCTCTCTTAGGAGCACCTCGGTCCTCGCAGCAGTGAATGCCACCTCCCAGGAAGTTTCTCCAAGGACAACCCATGCCATGTAGGCCTTAGGAAAAAGACCAGGCAAGGAAGAAACCCCCACCGCTAGACCTCGGTCTCTACCTGAGCTAAGAAGAGGTCAAGAGAACATGTCACTTCTTTCAGAGCTTTGCGACCCAAGCCCACTTTTCTGCAGCCCTAGCCATAAACTCTGGATCGCAGTGGACTGGAAGCTGCCTAGTTCACGTCCCAGCTAGCTAACATTGGTATCGCTTATTCTCCACCTAAAGCCACTGTGAGTTTCGCTGCCTTGCAGACAGGCCCACTGTGACAGGGCCCAGGCACTCCTGCGCCCTCTGCTTTGCGTGCCTTTCCCCAGTGACTCCAGAATCTTGGCCAGCTGCTCCCTTGTCCCTCAGTCCTCCACCTCGCCATCACAGCTTGCTCGGATCCCAGTCCTCAGGCAGCCTTCCTGTTGTCATTCTCCCAACCCTTTGTGTTATTTTCTTCCTAAGACATATCACAATTCTAGTCTCATTTCTCACCTGTCTTTCACTGTGAGCTATATATGCCCTGCCGATCGCCGTGTCGCTTCATTCCAGATGACGTGGTAGCAGCTAATGTTAACTGCCCTGTGGCTGTCCAGCCTGCCCTCCCATCACGGTGCCCTCTCTGCCTCATTCCCACAGTGCCTACCCTGGCCTCGGCCTCCCACCTACTGCGGTCTGCTTGGCACTCACTTCCCCTCTTCTGTCAGCGATCCACCCTGCAGCCACAGTGATTTTCACTCCACTGACCTCTGTCAGATCTTCTGTCTGAACTTCCCTCTCTGGGCCCAGGGTTGTCTTTCAGGGTCCACCTCCCACCCACAACCCTATGCTCATCTCCTAGGTATCTATTACCTATGCTGTGCAGGGGACTTGGGATACACAAGTGAACAAAACAGATAATCCTTGGGAAGCTGATATTGAAGGAATGTCTGGGCTGGGAAGTTAGCTCAACAGCATAAACACCTGCCTGGCAAGCACAAGGTCCCGAGTTCAATCACCAGTACGTAAGAAAAAAGAAATGTGATTTTTCCTCAGTTTAAGTTGCCCTTTCTTGCCTCCCCACCTTTGGAAATGTAGTTCCCCCAGTCTGGAATGCTAAAGTAGGTCTTCTACAAAACATCTTTTTAGCCACAGAAACTAAACATATGCCATCACTTTCTTTTGTTTTGGAGACAGAGTCTGTGTAGCCCCGGCTGTGCTGGGACTTTTGCTCCTTCTCCCAGAATGCCGGGCTCACAGATCACTCCTTCCTTAACCAGCCTCTGCCTTGTCTTTCTGTGCTCTCCCACGGGTCTGGGTATCCCACAGGCAGGCTGGCACCCAGATGCCAACCCTGGCTCTTGGTGCTGAGCACCAAGCACAGAGCAGGGTAGTGAGGAGGAAAACTGAATCCAAGAAGGTCTTAGGCCCAGATAAATGCTCCCCTCCCCCAGTTCCTCCCTCTACTCACAAGAGTTCGGCCAGCTCTCCTACTTCCCCCACCAAGGCCAGGAGGAGATTCCGCGGCTGGTGGAACTGTTCCCAGTCCCGTTCAGCAGCAAATTCTGCATGGAGGCGTCGGCTGGAATAAAAATGAACTGTGTCGACAGGCGATGCGGGGATCAGGCAGGGCCCATAGTGACATGGAAAAGGGGTGTGGGACCTAGGGATCCGGCTAGTGAATCCTCTGATGGCCTTGGGCAAATCCTTTCCTCTTTATTGGATCTGGCTTCCTACCGGGCAGTGAGCAGGTCCCTGCAGACTTTGCACATCCAAGTCCTGCTTATCCTAAGCTTGTCCCAAGGAGCTTTTCTTGACTTCCTCCGGCAAAAAACAACGTCTCCCACCTCCCAGCATTTGTCTGCCCCCTGGTATCACACACTCCTTTAGGGCAGACGTGGTATGAGACTCGAGCTCTTGCAGGGCTGGGTCTTACCACTGTTTGCGGGGCGTCCCCCGACTTTCCCGGCTTCAGTTGTGCGTTGCTGCGCCCGTTGTGCAGAAGAGGAGACTTGGAAGGTTCCCAGGAGGGCTGAGGCCGGGCACACGGAGGAACCCTCCCCAACAAGACAGAGCCCATCGCTCCCCTACACACACCTCGGGCTGGACAGGAGCTACTTACATGTCCTCGAGCGTGGGCTCCGGGCTGAACCTGAACGAGCCAGCGGCAGCAGCAGCACCATCCTGCCTCCTCGCGTCCTCACGCGTGTCCCCACAGTCGCGGGACATGCCGCGCGAGTTGCAGCCCAAGTCCCCGCCGAACCACGCGCTGCGCTCGGAGCCCGCCTCCCGAGCACCTGGCCAATCACGGGCATCCTCCACTGCGTCAGGAGGCGGGACTGCGCCACAAGGACAAGAAGGACCAATTACCTACATGAATTTCGCTACAGCCCGCCCCCTACCCAAACTGGGCCAATCTGAGGAAGCTTCAAGCGTCTTCGCACTTCTCGCCCTTTTAATTCTTGTTCCTACGCCAACCTTCTTAAAGGGAGAGGCACCAATGGGACTCCCGAAAGAGACTGGGAGACTGGGACAAGTGACGAGGGGAGCGTTGGCACATCACATCCTTTTTGGGCAGCAGATGGCATCAGAGTGAAATGGCTGGTGGAAAAGAGTGTCTGCTAGGTGGAAAGTCCTATACGTAACGTAACGCCTAGAGGTGTGTGCAGACCCAGAGGTGTGTGGGGACGATGCGGGGAATTGAACAGAGGGCCTTTGTTTAGAGGAACAGCCCCAGTCCTTTTTATTTTTTATTTTGAGACAGGGTCTCACTAAGTCTCCATGTTGTCCAGGCTAGACTTTTTTTTTTTTTTTTTTGGCTAGCTCAGCCTGCCCTGGGGGCGGAGCTGGTGCGGCTTGTGGTGCTGGGGATCGAACCACGGAGCCTGCACTTGCCCAAGCTTACCTAAGCAGGCGCTTTAGACCACTGAGCTAGCCCCCCAGTCCTTTTTTGTCCTTTTGAGACAGCGTCTCGCCCTACAGGTCCAGGCTGGCCTTGCAGACACTTTGTATCCCAGGCTGGTCTCAAATTCGCAAAGAGCCTCCTGCCTCGGCCTCTCAAATGCTGGGGTCACAGGCATACGCCACCATGCCGGGCTTCCGGGCAGGACTCTTCTGATTCTTCTGCTGCAGCCTTATGCTAGAGATTAAGTCTCTTAGGTTGAGAGGCATTGAGAACTCTCTAGACAACGCTCCCTCTACTTGGGTGTGGAGGAAGAATGGAGCAAGGTCAAACAGGACTAGGGCCCAAAACCCTGGTCTCACTTTAGCGCTCTAATCCAGCTGTTTCCTGTGGTTGGAAAGAGTTGATCCCTGGGGCTGAGGAGATGGCTCAGCGGAATAAGCAGTTCCTTGGCAAGCACAAGGGTCTGAGTTCAATCCCCCGTTCCGCCAAAAAAAAAAAAAAACACAAAACCTCCAGTCCAGGCAGGATTCGTTCTCACAGCCCCAGTCCCACACACGGGAAACCCAGCTTGCACACCTTGGAGGACTGGGGAGGCGAAGAGTCACGAAATGGTTAATTTCTTATCTGAGAACCACTGAAAATTTTTTTTAAAATCTTTATTCTTTTAAATCCTTTCTTCTCTTTGCTCTATTCAGTCTAAATAGAGAAGAAAAATGGGTTTAACATTCCTCTGTTTCCTACTTAATTCTTCCTGCTCCTGTCTTTTTTTTAAAAGTTTTTTCAAAGTTTTATTGATAAACAGCAATGAGACAGTTTCAAATGAAATCGGAAGTACAGTTTCAACAAATAATACACTGCATATATTCTTCTTAGTGGTTAATTGCTGTACAAGATGCAGACTTGTGATCCTATTTACAAACACCATTAGAACAAACCATTCTATTCACTAAGAGAATGCAACTATATATCCTAACCACTTTGAATACACAGATACAAAATGGACATTCATCTGTATACCCCATTTTTTCTAAGTTCCGTTATTGAATATTATAGGTGTGTAAACTCAGCAAAATATTCTAAAAGAGTCCAGTAGCCCATAATAGCATTGGGTCTTCTGTTTAACTGGCAATGTCAGAAATTATTGACCTGAGTCCCCCACAGCTCAACATAACGTGGCTTTATTTCCTATATTTCGTCTTCATACTTTTCTGCTGGATGGTTAAGACCAAGGTAAAGCAGGACCTGTGCAACAAGAGTTGTAGCTTTTTGGTCTGACAAGGTCAGTGAAATGCCCTCAGGATTTATCCTGAGATCCTGTACCTCAGATTGTAGAACCTTTGTCAGTGCAGCCATGTGGATGAGTCACGGCCAATGCTTGGCCAGTGTGCTCTCTGTGAAAGCCTGAGAGAGTGTTTTCTCCCCATGTGACTCTCCTTAGGCACACTCTACGTCATTGATCACTTTCCTCTTTGGCCCCATAATCTTCTTGATCAGAAAATTTGGGACACTACCGAGGTACATGACGTTACAGTACAAGTTCTCATATGTCCTGAGTCTTAATTGACCTTAGAAGGCTAGGGCCAAAATGTTGGCTTTCCTTGTAGCCCTCCTTTTTCTCTAATTTTGGTCTGCAAACTTAGGTTGTTAACCATCCAGAAGACAAGCTTATTGTTATTATCAAACTATTTAGGCTATTAAGCTTAACCTCACTATCTCACTGCATCTCAAACATCTTAGGCATAATAAGGAACAGGTATTTTTCATCAAGTATTGATATGTTGAACTTTAAGTCCCTACATAATATGATAAAAAAACATTTAAAAATACATTATATTTTAAAAATAGGTTAAAGAATTCTATGCTTCTCATGTTTGCACATAAGTCCAACCACTGAATTATTGACGTGGGAAGACCAGAGGTCTTTGTGGAACCCAAGGACAGTTTTAGGATAACTTATGATTGTGCCTCTAATTACAAGGTCTCCAGCCCTGTGCTCCAGAAGTTTAAAGAGTCTTGCAGTTTGGTGGAAGCAAAAGAATAAGAAAATGGAGGAGAAGGTAGATTTTAGAAATTAAGATCCCAGTATAGGACTAGAGGTGGCGACTTGGTGAAAACTTGTCTCAAAAGAAAAAATAAAAAGGACTGTCTCAAAAATAAATAAATAGGGGCTGGGGAGATGGCTCAGGAGAATAACCGCTTGCCTGGCAAGCTCAAGGGCCTGAGTTCAATCCCAGGTTCTGAAAAATAAATAAATATAAATAAATAAATAAAAAGACACTTCTCAGGGGCCAGGGAGATGGCTCAGTAGGATAATCGCTTGACTGGCAAACGCAAGGATCTGAGTTCAATCCCCGGTTCCACAAAAAAAAAAAAAAAAAAAAGACACTTCTCCACCAACCTATTTACTCTGATGCCATCTGCCACCCAGAAAGAAAGTGATGTTGTCCCTAACACAAAAAAGTCCCAAATTTATGACGCTTCTAAGCACAGTCCTATCCTTGGGAGACATGGATACAGAAATGAAAAGAGCATGTACTACAAAAAGTTCGTCACACTTTCGTTTGTAATAGAATTTGTACATCATGGGGTACTTATACAATGGATATTACTAGCATCTAAAATTGAATGTAAGGGGGCCGGGGAGATGGGTCAGTGGAATAAGTGCTTCCCTGGCAAGCGTAGGGGCCTGAGTTCAATCCCCGGTTCCACCAAAAAAATTAAAAATTGAATGTAAGCCAGAGAAACAAGTTTGGACTGGTTTATACAACAACAACAAAAAAAGATAGAGTTCAATTCCTGATACAAAAAATACAAAAAAAGGAAGAAGAAAAAAAAAAGAATAATAAACTGAGAGCATAATTTAACAGTATAAAACTTAACAGTATAAGATACAAGGTCCAATCCCTGGGACTGCATGCCGCGCTGTGCACCCCCCCCCATGCTGAGCTAGCAACAGAGTCCCAGGATGGTGGTGCACACCTGTAATCCCATAATTCCAACACTAGGAAGGCTGAAAACAGGAGGTCACCAGAGTCTGAGCTGCATAGTGAGGCCCTGTGCCAAATAATTATAAATAAATAAGTAAATAAAATAGGGCTGGTGAGATGGCTCAGCAGACCAAAGTGCCTGCTTAGGGAAGCTGAGGCAAGTGCAGGGGCTGGGGTTCGATCCCTGGCACCACATGCTGTGCCATCACCATCCCCAGGGCAGGCTGAGCCATCATCCAGAGGTCGGGCATAGTGGTGCACACCTGTAATCCCAGTGCTGGGGAGGCTAAAAGCAGGAGGATCACCACAAGTCTTTT